CTTGGTCCACATTGTCGGAGTTCTTCTGACCAGATGCTTCTATCAGCTTTGCTTTAGTGGATGAGAGTTCATGGAAAGACAGACAAGGTTGGAAATGGAAATTATAAACAGTGTCAGTAAAATGGAGTTACAGAGTCTGTCAGTTGCAACGGAGATAAAAGGATTGGAAAAATTGTCAAAGGCACACACTCTTCTTTTTTTTTTTTTTTAAAGATTATTTTTTGGGCGTTTTGCCTTTAATGGACAGGACAGTGTGAGAAATGGGGGAGAGAGAGAGAGTGGGGGATGACATGCAGCAAAGGGCTGCAAGCCGGAGTCGAGCTCGCAACCGCTGCAGCGAAGCATCGCCTCTATACATGGGGCGCCAGCACTATCCACTACGCTACCGACGCCCCAGGCACACACTCTTCTAATACTTTCTCATTCTAATCAAATCTAGTACAGTGTGAGTGTGAGTGTGAGTGTCCGCTGGTGTTTTCCCACACCAGTTTGACTGCTGAACTGTTGACTGACTAATCTTCAAACATTAGAAAAAATGCACATACACTCTCTCCGGGTACTCCAGCTTCCTCCCACAGTCCAAAGACATGCAGGTTAATTGATGACTCTAAATTGACCATAGGTGTGAATGTGAGTGTGAATGGTTGTCTGTCTCTATGTGTCAGCCCTGCGATAGTCTGGCAACCTGTCCAGGGTGTACCCTGCCTCTCGCCCAATGTCAGCTGAGATAGGCTCCAGTTCCCCCGCGACCCTCAAGAGGATAAGCGATTAGAAAATGGATGGATGGATGGAATCAGGTTGACACTCAGCATCCGATTTTTACTTATGTTTGTGTCCTTAAATTTTGCACTCATTTCAAACATACCATTTGAGTTTAAAGCATACACAGTGAGAATTCTGATCAGCTGGGAGGTGTTTATTAATGGACAGTATAACCGGGCATTTTGAATGCAGGATTTTAACTTCCCAACTTCCTTGAACTTCGTCAGTAACTTCACCATTTTTCAATCTCAACTTCAAAACCATGTTTTTGTGTCTAAGTGACTGATGTGACCAATAGTATGTCTCTGCAGACCCGGAGACTGCAGATTCAGACCCGCAGTTCTGGACCTGCAGTTCTAGACCCCTTGTTTTTCGTCCCCTACTGGACGGCTGTATAACTGCAACTAAATCAGCATCTCACCCAAACACCACTGTTTGAAAGAAGTTGGACTTTTAATGCTTTATTACAATTTACAGTTTTAAAATTTTATTACACCCGAATAAAAATACCAAGATTTAATTGTTGATTTATGCCTGGGTGCTGTTCTGCATCATTATTGTTTGCTGGTTGTTCTGTATGGTTTGATCCAACTATTTTAGTTCTTTATTTCTTAATATTCATCAGACTGCTCTGACTGGCATGCCAAAAACTTGCACGGCATTGATCAAACCCGCTACAACATATAATAGGAAATGTCTGGTCTTGGGTGTCCAGTGCTCACTTTTGTTGTGGGAATTTGAAACAAAGGCTGTGAAATACTGAAATGGTTTGAAATGTTTTATTGTGTGCAGTGGTTACATCACACATCAGGGAGATCTGCAGAGAAAAAAAAGAAATCAAACATATCACAAAATTGAAAACAGAAACACTTAAAAAAATTAAATGCCTATCACAGTCTACACTGAAATACTGAAGAATCTGGAGCACAGCAAATACATTATTATATCGACATATTAACAGTAGTGCCCCTTCCTTCCTCATCTGCCTTTCTATCCTCCACAAAACTCCTCCACTTCATTGTGGTTTCCCCTTTCTGGATTGTTATGTGCACCTTAAAAAGAGAGTCCCTAATTATTCAAAGTTAAGATTTTTCAACCGTTTTACACACATAAACAAGGCCAAAACCTAATAATAGACAAAAATACATTTCTGATCATCTGCGCTGGATGAGCTTAATTTCTATCCACAAAATCTCTAAATATATGCTATAGAGTAATATCAATGTAGTGATATAAACACACGTGATATATAACATTATGAATAATAAAGGAAAAACGTGTTTAGGTGTATTACATGATAAACATGAATACAAAATTAACTTTTAGCATAAAGTACACTAATTGCCAATATGTAAACAGTTTCATGCTTGTATGAAAACGTAAGCCTATACATGTTTTTCTCATATCATCCACTTCATTGCTTTAATCATTTATTCATGTTTAATTTAAAGCACATGCTAAAATTATTCGTCATCGCGCTTTGGTTTCATGAAACAAAATGTGCAGGTCAAACAGTTCATTGCTAACAAGCTAAACTATTACCTACTACTTTAACCCATATTTGACGTGCCTTTCAGACTATCGTGGTAAAGACAGTCATATCATTTTAAACGTATCACTGTAAAACATGAAATTCATGAAATTCATGAAACTCCAGGTCTGCAGACACACCCTCCTCGATGTGACTGCAGCTGCAAGCTGTGCCCAAAATGTAAATGAATGGGGCAGTTGTTTTTCCACACATAGTAAGTGTCAGAGTGTTCCTTTACCTTTTGTTTGATCTTGTGTGTTTGATTGTGTCTGAGCTGTGTCAAGTGTGGCACAGCATTTTGTTGGCACAATTTGGCAATGTGCAAACATGAACCATTGTTCCCCTTCTTTTTCTAATCTCTTAGATAACACTAAACTATGTTTTCCATACTCCAATATAACAAACTATTCCCAACACTACTCTCTCAAACTGTTACTGGCATTCCCAGCATTATTGTCCCGCAACAAGTAACGTCTTCTGAGTTTCCAGAACAAGACTTTTCCTTGAGTCAGACTTAGACACAGTAACAGACTGGATCAAGCGAGCAGTAAAGAGACACTTCAGACATTCATGATAAAAATCTGAGCCTGTTTGTGGGAAAAATAAGCACTTATAATGGATGTAAAGTGATGGTGCACAATTTCCGCATCTGATTACATGGCCGTTGTGTACCTGCTGGCTGCAGCCCTTTCTCTCAATATTGGATCAGTTTTAAAAATTGTTGTTCACATCAATCACTTAGACACATAATGATGGGAAAATAGGGTTCATGTTGAAAAATGCTGAAGTTGCCTTTTAAAGGAAAGAATCTTAACATAAATTATATACATTTATTTTCCGTAACCGCTTATCCTGTCGGGGGTTGCGGGGGGGCTGGAGCCTATCCCATCTGACATTTGGCGAGAGGTCAGGAACACCCCGGACAGGTCGCCAGACTATCACAGGGCTGACACATAGAGACAGACAACCATTCACACTCACATTCACACCTACGGCCAATTTAGAGTCACCAAGTAACCTGCATGTCTTTGGACTGTGGGAGGAAGCTGGAGTACCCTGAGAAAACCCACGCTGACACGGGGAGAACATGCAAACTTTTACACAAAATGTATCCCCCACCCCGGGGTTCTAACCAGGTGCCTTCTTGCTGTGAGGTGACAATGCTAACCACTGCACCGTCTGCCTGCCTCATAAATAACCACTGTTAACCTACATGTCAAGTAGGCCTACATAGATTGTCAGTAAGATTGTGAAGAATCGAAAGTCTGAAAAGTTGATAAATGCTAAAATATGCAGACATTTATTTGCATTTTAAGGTGAATCACTTGCAGATATCTACATTTAAAATGTGGAGCTTCTGTATACACTCAGCAATTTCTTTGAAGCCCATTCTTGCTTGTGCAGGAGTTGGCAATGAAAATGTCTTCCTGTTGGATTACTTCACAGGTCTTTAATATAATAAGTTAACTTCATTCCAAATCCATTAATACAATTACAAAGCCAGAACTTTACACAGACCTTTAAGTCTTTTTGAAGTTGCTTCTACATTGCTACTCACCCAGCTTGTTGAGGCTCTTTTCAATCCTGTCCAGTTTCCTCTCCACGACCTCTTGATCTGTGACTCCTTCTGGAAAAGATTTGTCCGTTCTCCAACTCATGATCGTGTAAATGATGTTCAGAACAAGTAAAAAGGCTCCAATTATTCCAGCTTTTCGCACGTATGTCTTCATTGTGTTTTCTCACACCGGATCACTTAAGTGTCATTCTGTCCTGTACGCCTGCAGCTTTACAGCTCAAATTGAACAATAAATCACATCTTATCTTAAGTTAGTTTTCTTATGGCAAACACATGGCCCATCCCACATGAGATTACAAGACACTACCATTTTACAAAACACACATCTTCCATTAATACATAGGCTAAAAAGCAGAACAAGAGCGAAAAACGAAATCTCTCCCAGGCAAGTACCCAGCTCTGAATGTTTCATATGTGAACAGCCAACTCAGTCTTTGTGCAGCATTCGTATTTACAAATGATTTTATCTTATAAAGTATCTCAAAGATAACATTCCCAGCCATATGCACGTTAAATGACTTTCAATTTAGAGTTGTTTAAAATCAACAAAAGAGCACAACTGAGTGCGGCCAACCTGAGAACAGTCAACAAACTGCTTTTAAGAGAAACTACAAAAGGTGTTAGGCTGTAGAGGTGGACTAACCCTATCAAGCTGACAATGTAATAAAGTTTTCAAAGTACATGTCACATATTTACAAAGCACATTCAGTCTCTTCTGATGTGAGCATGCTTTATGGTTTTACAGCATGTAGTATCTTTGGCGCCAATGGCAGCCTTGATTCTACATGGGGCAGTCTTTATTACTTGTTCTGTAAAGTATATTACTGGAACTATCATTGCACACTGAATACATATTACACATGGATTATGGTCCTATCTGTCATCTCTGTTCTGTGTTTATTTATGTAATAATCTTTTCCCAGGTAGCAGTTTTCCTGCAACCTGCAGCCGGGTTTAGTATCACTGATACATGACACACACCTTCAGCCTTTGTGGTAGGGATTGTGTGTTTCTGTGTGTTCTGTAAATGTCCATTGGGGTGAACATGAAGAACAGGGGAACCCTTTCTGGGTGCATTTCATCATGCTAACCTATCACCTTGCATCCTTCACTCTCTTCCCTTCCTTGCAGCTCACTGCCATGAGAGATGCAAGCGGGACGAGATGTGAGGACAGAGGAGCTGACATCAGTTACTTATGACGTATGTATCTCTGGCAAGTGGTCTGGTGCGAATGTCCGCAGAGCCACTTATTTAAAAACAATCTCAAAACCTTACAGTATCCTTAGAGATAGCCTATAGGTCTATAGGAGTGTGACATAATAAGAGGCCTTCATCCACTTACATATGTCAACTTTTTAACAGAACTGATTAGTATTACGGGTGAATATAACCTTGAGTCACTTTTATACCGTTTTATGGTTCTTTGCTATATTTCTATGACAAAAATATGTTGCCAAGTAAAAATAATTTAGAAACTTTGAACCTTCAGACACAGCAAGAACCCCAGCCTCGCTCTGATGACATGTTCAGGTCTTGTTTATTTGTTTTTAAATAGTCAAATCCATTTATCAGTTCAGTTATTGATTCATTAAATCAAAAATGTAACCTTTTGCGCTTCATCAATAAAGATCATCCAACTTTCCTTCTATGCTGTCCCTGTTCTTTTGTCGCATGTTTCCTTGGCGCCATATTGTTTACAATGGGCGTATGTGTATAACAGTTATGGCTGATTCTGGACTATTGTGGCTTATATGGACTCACTGCATCATCTTTATTATTTTTTAAGTGACAAAAATTACTATAAATGTTTGTAGTATAACAGGTTGGTGCACAATAGCATAAGCCATGATTTTATGTCACCAGGTAGCCTAAAAACATGCTGGTTTCACTTCAGAAAAATGATTTAATACATTACCTACTCACCCAAATCCCCTTCCCATAAAAAATAAAGTGTATTGTGAAAATATTTTCATTATGAGTCAAACAATTAACAAAATGCAACATGCTATAACCAATTTTGTTGATATACACTTATTGCTTCAGCTGCAGCACTCTTACTACCAACATGCAACGTCTTTCCTCCAAGTTCTGGGACCAGTGGATTTATGAATCTTTGCTCTCATACTACTTATCTCTGACCAATAAAAATGATTGTTTCATGTAAAGCACATTTATATTAACAATGTTAGTTAACATGTTTGGTGACTGGCTAGAGCCACAGATTTATGACCTTAGTTGTCCCGTTTTACCTCATGTTCCAAATTACCTGACTTCCCTGTTACTGTTATCACACTTTGCCATCTCTCAGCCAATCGGGATGCCACTGCAATTTTTTATATCTGCTCTTTCTTGTGCTACTGTCAGCCATAATTTTAGGCAGAATCTTCGCACCCTACTCCACCCTGGTCACCTCCAGCCATCGTATCCAGAGTCCAGGGCAAGCTCTCAAAGACTCTTTCCTCTACTCATCCAGATCATCGGCACTTCTCCATCTTCCTCTCATCTCATCTTCACCACTTCTACCACCACCAGTGTCTGGGTTCCCTATTCAACTATGGATTCTTCACCCTCCTTAAATCAAACCATCTCTTCGGGGTCTAATTGCCAAAGACTTTCCACATTCTTATTCATTTGTTCACATTAATAAATATTCTTTTATCATAAAAACTTGTCTCCTGATTTAATTATCTGTAGATCACTATACATGACACTTCAAAGTAAGCACTGTGAAAGTAAGCACATATAAGTCACATAACCCCAATAAAATCTCTGTAACCCTTGGGGAGTGCCATAGTCATGCCACTTCTGTGTAGGATACACCTGGGTTTCCTCATTCAAAGCTTCTCCACAGGCCTCCTCTCTCCTCAAGTGCATTTAACGGATTGGAAGCTTCTCTATGATGGCAGAGAGGGAACCATTTCCATGTCACAGGAGAGGAGAAGAGGAGAAGAGGCGAGGAGGGATAAGTTAGAAAGATGTAAAAGGACTCTCTGTATCAGCTCTGTAAGGTTAAAATCATATCTAATGAAAACAACATGGAACAAATAAGAACAACACTCAACACTTAGAGGATATTTTTTTATTTATGTACAGAATATAATTAAAGACCAAACAATCAGAGGTATTAACATCCCCTGGCTTCCCTGGTGCCATTTGTAGTTTAATAGTTGACGGTCTTGGCTGGCTTTGCCTCATCCAAGTCGGCTTCAAGGTAACGGAATCCACGATGGCGACGCAGGATCTCGATTGCCTTTTGTTCTACAGTGGTAGGAGTGATACCGAGGTCTTCCAGACCAGGAAGTCCTGGGTACTTCATGTCTGTTTCGTGAAACTGGAAAAGAAAAGCACAGTATAGATTTAGTGTTAGCTAATGAGGCTCCACAGGTGGTGGGACAATTTTCAAAACCTCAAGTTTTAAGTTACACCAACAGTCTTGGGTGTCTTACCCTGTCGACTTTGTCTGGGCTGGTCCAGGGGTCAAATGGGTTCATTGTGAAAAACCGAGCAGCAAGGCTGATGAGAAAAACAGAAATGAAGACATTATTTTACAATGGTATAGAACAACTGCACACAAGAGATCCATGTAGAGGTTTTCATCATGCTTTAATACTATTGCACACATGCAATTAAAGGTATACTATTCATAAACTGTCGGGGTACTGTTAGCACACACGCTCACCAGTAAATTGGTTGGGTTTGGTGTGTTTGATTGTTTGAGTAACTTACATAAAACATACCTTGTTTCTGTAACAAAAAAAAAAAAAAAGTTAAAAAAAACCCAGACATGTAAAGCACTTACTGATAGAGTGGGCGGGGCATGGGGTAGGGCACGAAAGGTCTGTGCGCCACAGCGTAGATGTACTCTACCAGGTCATGAAGGAGGTAACGGTTGGGACTAGACAACAAGAAAACAGGACAAAAACAGTTTATGAAGCAGAGTCCTCATCATGTGGATGTGTGCTCACATGTGATACAAAGACAGAACATGAACCACAGACCAACATGTATTGACACAAGGCTTCCTGTCTTTAACAGACTACTTCTGTGCAGGCACTGCATGCAATCAAGGGGCCTCATTCACCAATATCTTCCTTAAATTTGTTCTTCTTCTTAAGAAAAGTCAGACAGATTCACGATGTGTTCTTGAGCGGCGGAATTGTTGGCACCTGTGTTCTTAACATAATGAATCCCATTGTCCTTGTAAGTGACAGTGCATGTCGGTTGATCCTAATTAGCATAGGTAAACGCCTGCAAATCCCCATAGAAGGACATGAGACTGCAGGGCCGTGTGAACACAGGGAGACTGGAGAAGTAAAGTTTAGAGAAACGAGAATTCTAAAGAGGGTGGAATACTGGACTTCTGTTTAAGTGGAGGTGCCTCTGCAGAAAGAACACCAGGCTAATGAGCTGTCATATCTACTAGTGTCAGGAGTGGATATTTCATGAAACAAACCAATGCATGGGATGCTAAAAATGTGTAAGATAAGTAAATGCTGGTGAATATCAGAACCTTCCTGGGTTTTAAGAATAAAATTCTTCTTACTAAAGGTTGGTGAATGAGGTCCAAGGTCTCTAACTTTTACTTAAAGTCATCCCTGTCTTTAAATCGCACCCATGACTTCATCAGAACACTTTCTTGCTCAGTACAAATTATGGCTGATTGATCTGCTATAAATTAAAGACAACACAGTATTTGTGCTTTACATTATCACTGGTATTAACAATTCAGTATTTCAGCTGGACTCCTTGGCACAGATTTTCAAACAAATGATCTGGATGCTGATCACCTACCCAACTAATGCATATGTCTTTCCATTAGCATCAGGGTCCCTGACGGCATTGATGATGGCCTTGGCCACATCCACCACCTGAGGGAGGAAAGAGATGGTTTAGTTGGGCTCATTTCATAAGCACACTCAGCGAGTAGGATTTTCAATGTGTATTATTTCCTTTAGACAAAATGTGACAAGTGTAAAAATGGAAAATATTGGAAACCCAAGTTAATCAGACAATTTGTTTAAAAGTACACTGTGATTGGACATTATCTGCTGTAAGAACGCTTATAGCTAGTCATTTGACTGGTGACACAAAATTGAAGTATGACTCTGATGTCAGCAAACAAGTTTTAGGATTGGCAACAGGACTATTCTGCAGGCACAAATCCAAGAAACATCTCACAACAATCCCGTTGTCAAATGCCAGCACAACCTTCAGTTGGGCCACTAACACAGAATCAGCAGAATGGCTTCATTGTAAATAATCTCACTCGGTGACAGAATGTAATTACAAGCCACACACAAACATTATTTCTGGAAGTTTAGATTGAATACAAGTGAACACGTTAAAAATAGCTGCTTCCTTTCAACAAACTTACATAAACAGGCTGCTTCACAGTCTTCTTCCCCAGGGATATGAGTGGAACAGCGTTGCCAAACCAGCGCATGTCTGAAAAGGATTAAAGCCCCGCATTAAATATTCACCGGATAGCTGGCTCTCTGTTAGTACCAAGGGGAACATTTTCAACATTGCTGAACACTGAAGCAGTCAAAACTATAGCAATAGCTCCACTTGTGCCTGTAGAATTTGATGTAGAGGCAACATTGCCTTTTATATTCGGCAAAAGTAAAACTGGAGTGTCTGTGACAGAGCACCAAAAAGAGTCGAGCAACATTCACAAACATAACCTAATGTGTCACATTCCTGTCATTTAGAGTTGGCTGGTGGATTACTGACTGCGACTGCTTTCACAGTCTCTTTCACTGACTACATTTGCATAACGAATGTTCTTTCGAATATGCGAATATGACAATAGTCAATATATAAGTCATTTTCCCATTAAGATGTGGGATATGCCAATATTACTCAGGCTTCAGGAGCATTTTTGGACATGTATACAGTGCATTAGAAACATGCGTCTAAAATGGGATTTTTACCACACACACATGGCCTCTTGCCTGTTTACAGTCAGCTCTATGTGTTGTCATGGACACGTTTTACAAAAACCAATGAGCCAACAGTTTGCAAGGCTGTGGGGTACAGATGCATGCCCAGAAGAAAACTCCACATTTCTAGTTGGAAGGAGAAACAATCCTACTTTTAAACATAATGAGAGACTTGAGTATCAACAAGTTTTTTGATATGCACAAATATCGCCGCAGTGAACTTTTCAAGAAGGTGGCTGAAGGAATGAAAGAGGGAGGCTGTGTGGGCCACCAGATTAATAAAAAAAAATATTTTGACACAAAGAAGCAAAATGGCAGGAGCCGTTCCAGCTGTTTCACTGTAACATATTTTGATGTGATAAAAGACATGTTTGGGCACATTAATCAGAGTATACACTGCTGCATGTCAACAGGAATACTAATCAAACATTAGGGATGTCCCGATCCTGTATCAGCTCCGATCACATTATTTTTACAAAATCGGAATTGGTAATAAAAGATCGGAGGAATCAAAACAACAAAAACGGCCAGGTTTTTTTATCTATGTTGTTCATTGTTGCCTCCGCTTTCCAATGTATAAAGATATAGGCCTTTTGTTTGCTGAAGACAAGAAGAAAATATTGAATTTGTTTACATTTTGTGCTGCTGAACCACCAATAAGCTTTTTGGATACTATTTAAATAAAAAACAAACCTTATGGGACAACTTGGATGCATTCTTTTTATTCTTTCTTAACGCTTTGCAAAGTATCGGATCGGACCCTGTTTCAAAATAAAGGACTCGGTATCGGATCAGATGCAAGAAAAAAAATGTGACTGGGACATCCCTATCAAATATTCATTTTCATTTTTTGCGGAATCAGGGCAAAAAGTATTTTGTGCATGAAAAAATAGTCACTGACACAAACAGCTGTCTTACTTGCATAATAGTTGAAGAATCTGTCCTCCCTCCCAAAGATCTCAGAGGGCTTCATGATGATGGCTTCAGGAAACTCATCTCTCACTGCTGTCTCTCCTACAGCCTATAACAAAAGAACATTATACACAATGATCAACTACATTCATACAAGTTAACCTTCACTGGCTTAAAGGCGTGTACACTGTACAACAGAAACACAGTTACACTAGTTTGACTGAGTAGAAGACATGTGCAGTATGTGGAGAAACAGCCGTCGTTACCTTGTTCCTCAGGTATTTGGACGGGCTACGTATGTCGGCGTTGAGGTGAGACATGTGGACAAATTTTGTGATGCCAGCCTCTCTGGCTGCCCTGGCAATCTGCTGAGGGATGGACACGAAGACATCCTCGAAGTGATAGTTCCTTTACACCAAAAGAAAAGAAATATTATACACTTTGCACACCCGTTCAGCAATGTCCTCCAATATTCATCTATACCTCATCTTAACGCCAAATCAAAGCTTTATTTTATGTGAACAACATCATATAAAAAAATCATTTTTCCAGTCTTCACATACTTCGTCTCCCACTCTCTGCCCACTAGGTTGATGACAACATTAGAGTGCTCCAAAGCCCGTTTGATGGATTCCTTGTTCCTGGCATCCCACTCCTGCAACAAGATAGGCCAGACACATCTGCATTTTCATATATTTCATATTATTG